CACTTTTATGTACTGAGGCAATAAGGCAATGACAATATGTTAATAAGGAATCTTTAAAGGGTACATTAACTTGCAAAAGCCATTATGGAACAAATAAGATCCTTGTAGTAGACTAAGGATGTGTCGAGAGAATTAGTGTACCATGTGCTAGTACTAATCTTGGAAAGTAACTTGGACAAGATGATCTACTTTGTGAAACACAGCTATGAAAACCCCTGCTAGATGTCTTCATATTCTGCACAGAGAAAACAATAGTAATATATCAGGCTAGGACCTATCAAAAACAACACAGAAACTCAACATGTGGCTGCTACTTATCCTAGAATTTGTAAAATATTCTCTTGTAGAGGAAAAAACAATCTTGTAAAACAGATCACACAAAATTAAGTACTACAGAAAACACAAAAGACCCTGACAGTTGAAATTTGATCAAAGAACAAGATTAGACTGCCCTCTAGTGGAAATTAGAGAGAACTCAATACATCCAGAGCTTGACCATGCTGAACTGAAACTCAAATTCAACCTTTGCTCCAGCTGCCTACAACTCAAGGCCCTCCTTCTACTTCAGCCTCCAAGTACTGGAATTATAGGTATGAAACACCATGCTTAGCAATGGTAATACAGTACTTTTCAAACTCGTATTTCCTGGTTGTTATTTAAAGAGTGCATGGTGGCTGTTTCACCAAACGAGCTGTTTCATCCTTTCAAGCATTTTCAATGCAAAATATTGATTCTGTCACATTTAGAAATTCTTTAAAAAAAAAAAATAGTCTCAAGTAACATAGACCAGCCTTGAATGTACTATGTAGCAGAGGGTGAGTGTGAACGTATGATCCTTCTCCTCTCCCTACCATGAGCTAGGATTACAGTATGCACCACCACTGTGTGTTATGCTCTGGCTCAAACCCAGGGCTTCCTGCATACTAAGTAAGCACTTTACACCCCAGCCCTCATCTTCTAACATTTAATGGAATGGTTTTCTAACCCAATCTAAACTACATAGTACCCACCTTCTGATACAGAAAAGTAACTTTGTAAATTGCAAAGATAAGACAAACTGCTAGCAGAATGTGCATACCTTCATGGCAGACACCCAGACTTGTTCTACATCCAGAAATAAAGACTAGCCCATACATATCAAACATGTGCTAAGTAATTTGACATTTGTCATCTCATTTAATCCTCCAACTACTCTATCAAGCAGGTATAGTCACCCCTCAGTATCCCTGGAGGACGGTTCCCAAAGCCCCGTGGCTGCCCAAATCTTTGAATGCCCAAGTACCTTACATAAAATGGCACAGCATTTGCATACAACTTACTCATCATTTCATATGCATTAAATCAGCTTTCTATCATTTAAAATACCTAATATAATGTAGAAAGTACCTGTACTGTATTGTTTAGGAAATGACAAGATTGAAAATGCAAACCTATATATGTGTTTAATATGAACAATTTAAATGAATATTTTCTATATGCACTTGGCTGAATCTACAGATGCAGAACCCACAGACATGAAGGGCCAACTGTATTCTGATCCTCATTTGCAGAGACTGAAGCAAGGAACATTTGAGAAACCTACAAAGAAAGAATTTCAGAGCTGAGAGTTCACATTCACTATTTTTGACTTTCCAGCACACTTTTATCATTTATCTCCTAAATTGCAATCTTACCAGTAAATATCAATTAAACAGGCATTTGTAAGGTAGATGGACAATATCCCATTTAAAAAATCAATATGAATGGATTAGCCTTTGCTATTTAACAATTCCTGAGGGACTAAGTTTCCAATACTCCATTTTATTAAGTCACTGGATAGCAAAGCTAAAAGCATCATCAAAGGTCTTAAATTGCTCACATAATACAAATTCCTTACTCTTACAAGACAGACCATCCAGGAAACAAGGAAAGATGAAAAGATGTAAGACGACTGTAAAATGGAAAGAGTGAGTAGATAAAGTGCTATATCCAACAGAGCCATGGGAAAAAAAAAAAAAAAAAAAAAAAAAAAAAGGAAGAAGTCAAGGCTGGGCTGAGAAGACTCACTGGATAACGAGCTTTCTATGAAAGCGTGGGGACCCCGGTTCTGATCTCCAGAACCCATTTCAATAAGCCAAACCCACTCCAATAGTCACATTGTAACCCAGCACTGCTACAGGGGAATCACCTGAGGCTCACAGCCAGCTAGTTTGACATATATGACAGGGATGGAAGAAAATGAGAAGTGATGCTCAAGATTGGCCTCTGACCTCTATATGCACAGCACAACATGTATATCCACACTCAAACACATGGATGTAGGCATGGGAGGGCAGACAGACACAATCAAAAAGAAAATCAAAGTTATGGTCAGCTACTATTTTCTTCTAAGTTGCTTTTATTATTTATTATTGTTTAGTCTTGTGAGATTATGTCCAAGTATCTAGGTTATGACAGGACATACAATATTTTGAAGCTATCAAAAAGGAAATTCAAGGTCGGGTAGGTACACACCTTTAATCCCAGCACTTGGAGGCAGAGGCAAGCAGATCTCTGTGAGTTTGAGACCATTTTGGTCTACAAGAGCTAGTTCTAGGCCAGCCTCATCTACAGAGTGCCAGGACAGGCTCCAAAGCTACAGAGAAACCCTGTCTCAAAATACCAAAAGATAAAAACAAGGAAATTCAATAGTGTTTGTATTATCATTTTTTAAACGATCTAAGAATGATGCACAAGCTCACTGGATATTAATTTCAAAACTATATTAATAACACTGACAGTTTTTAAAAGCTACTCCATAAAATCCAACTTCAAAAAGCTTCCATTATGATATTAGCACTGATCCTATGAAATTGAGTAATTTAGACAAAATTTTCACAATTTCAAAACATTTCTTTGAGCATATTTCTGGGTTGACAAGATGTTATCTCACACAGTCATTCACTGTGTGTGTGTGTGTGTGTGTGTGTGTGTGTGTGTATCTTTGTTTTGTTAAGGCTATGTTCACAGGGTTCTTGAAGAACTAGAATGGTCTCTGTAAAGTCCCTAAGCAGCTCTACATCTTGTAGGTGATCTACATTAGGCAATCATCACAAAAACAGTATCCCAAGTACACAAAACACTGCTTTATGATTCACTAATGAAGCCCTCTGCCAATCTGCTGAGGACTGCTGTAAAAGATGGGATGGTGAAAAGCTTGAGCTTAGATAGAAAACAGCATTGAGTAAAATTTACAAAGGGAGCACAATCTCGGAGTAAGCAGTTTCACTGGCTCCATCCACTACTCAAGAAGTAACCCGTCACTGGAGCTGACATTCCACAGAACCAAACTGAAACTGAGGCGGTGACCTGGCCCCAGACATGACGATCCCTCTGCCTCAACCGTTGCCCCACATGCAATAATCCCCTCCTGCTTTCCTGTCACACACACAGATTTCCCAGATGAGAGAAGATATGTGACACTGTACCTTCTCTCCCTTCAGAAAGGGAAAGGAGGGACAGCATGAGGGTAGTGAGACAAATACAAAGACTGTGTGTGTGTGTGTGTGTGTGTGGAAACATCGTAACAAACCTGTTGGTTTTATATGCTGACTAAACCAGCAAGGCAACTGAAGGCTCCACCTCCCTGTCCCTGCCCTGCAAAGTAACTCTGAAATGACTGCTCCATTTTGATGTTTGCTTGTATTTGCTTACATTCTTTTTTGTCTATAAAACCATTAGGAAATAAATGGTGTTCCATTTTAGAATCAAAATAAATTACAATTTAGAATTTAAAAGTAAAGGCAATTATGGTCTTTACATTGTTCTGATTTTGTCCCTTGGGAGCAGTGAATCAATATTATCCTCAAGTGAATGTGTATCAAACACAGATTATTCTCTGAATATAAACCCATCCAAATGAAAAATGATAAAAATGAACTTCTATAAAGTTCAAATGCAGCCAAACAGGCACCTGGATTCATCTGATCTCATTCATGTCCATCATCTTGATAGTAAAAATATAAGACATCAATTTCTGAAAGCTTAAACTTTAAAAGCAATGTTTGGAGTATATTCTCCAGCCAGGATAAAGTTACTATAAAACCCTTTTATTTTTCTACTTATACTTTTTAAACAAAAAGACCTAATGTTTTATACAAAGATAGTCTTGAGTCACTTAAAAAATAAACAAGGGCTGGGAAGTTGACTTAGGCAGTAAAATGCTTGTAACTTAAGCATGAGGACCAGGCCTGAGTTGGATCATGTGTGTGTACCTATGTGTATGTGCATGCATGCATGCATATATGTATGTATATATGTATGTATGTATGTATGTATGTATGTATGGTATGTATATAGCTAAACCTGATAGCTTGCTTCTAATAACAGCACTGAGGATACAGAGACAGGCAGATACCGGAGGCCCACTGGCTAGCCTCATCAGTGAACCCTGCATCACAATGAGAAATATTCTCTCTTTTTCTTTTGGGGGGTGTTTTTGGGTTTTTGTTTTTTTTTGGGGGGGGAGCTGTTGTTGTTTTGCTTTATTTTGTTTTTTGAGACAGGATTTCTCTGTGTAGCCCTGGCTGTCCTGGAACTAACTTTGTAGACCAAGGTGACCTCAAACTCAGAGATCTATCTGCCTCTGCCAGGGTGCTGGGATTAAAGGCATATGCCCCCACTACCCCATCACCTCTCAAAAATAAAATAAAACACCAAATAGCTCCCAAGAAACAACATCCCTGGGTTGTCCCCTGTCCTCCGTGTGCATAAACACCTGCATACAAAAATGTGAGCACACACAGGCAAGTGCATACACAAAGACCAAGAAAACTAAAATTGTTTCATTAGCTGACTGGAGGTAGAAAATATCAGTGGTTAAGTTTTAGAAATGAATTTCTATATATTTTCTGTATAATCAAATTATGACACTAAGAATGCACTATTATTTTTAAAATGTTAGCTAAGAATTTGATGAATTCTTAGAAAGCTTTGAAACATCAAGTCCTGTTAAAACTGCTTTATTCACACATCACACTTACCCAGGTTTGCCATCAGGGACTCCAAATCCTGGAGGAGAGCTGGCAGCTGCTGCAGCTGCTCCTGCAGCTCAGACAGGCTGCTCCTCTTCTTTTCCCAGTGGGCAGAGAGCATGACCACCTCGCTGTCCACCAGCTGCAACACAGACCAGCAGGGGCTCAGAGAAAGGACATCTCAATGCAAAGATACAGTTAGCGTGCAGAGGCCAGACAGTTTGTCTTTAACAATCCTCCAGTGCTACTACTCAAGACGATGTCACTTTCTTTTGCTTTTTTGTTTAGAAAAGAAACAAGTGAAATTCTGTACAACTCTCGAACAGCTGCTGTATCAGGGGTCTTAACCGAAGAAGAAAAGTTAAAAATGAGCTGATACTTCTGAATATATTTTGCTTTTAAGGGTAATGTTCATTAGAAAGTTCAGACCTAAACACACACGTCACACACACACACACACACACACACACACACACACACACACACACCACTAACAGAAAGAAAATACATAGAAACTGATCAAAACCATGAGTCACAGGTTAATTACTTGCTTTATAAAAGGCTTTCAATGGGAAAATTTCCTAATGCATTTTGAAGATCCTACAATCAACTTATATTCTAATAGAACACTTCCTACATGGAGCGAAGAAAATGGTCTGTACAGGAGAATTAGTGGAGGAAACTGACCAACTCCAGAAAAGGACAGCTTGTAGTTAATAAGGAGGACTGAGGTACAGAAGGCCTGACTGAGACTCTGGCCTCCCCTATGGCAATGCCGGCATCTTCCTGGAGACTAAAGATAATCACAGAGGGACAAGGAAGAGGTCGGCTTTTAAAACATGACCCAAATAAACTAGAACTGTGAGAAGTATTCTATGAACAATAGAAATAAAGGGCATAAAATCTACTACAAATAAAAGAAACAAATTTGAATTTGAGATGCAATATTACTAAGTTCACAGTTAAATCATTTTTTAAAAAAGAAAACAATTTATATTTCCCAATGCTAAGATTCTTCAAGATGCAGAATATGAATAAAACAGGTAAGAATTTTAGAGGAAAAATACATCAAAATGAGACAGAAAATGAATTGTGTGTGGTGGCAGATTGCTATTTGTTTACTTTTTTATAAAATTTAGACAGGACCTCAATATACAGCCCAGGATGGCCTAGAACTTGTTATGTACCAGGATGGCCCAGAAGTTAAAGCAATCTTTCCACCTTTGCTTCTAAGTGGGAGTGCTGGAATTACAAGTGTGTGTCACTACAACTGACTGCATATTCCAACACAGCAGGAATCCACATCTTAAATAAACGAACTGGATCTCCCTATTGCTTTCTAGCACACACTGAAGGGAATAACCCCAAGCCTTAAACAGTGCTGGGAAGGTGACACCAAGTTTTACATAACCTGCACTTCACTCATTGAAACATTGGTTTCACTATGTCACCAAGGTTGGACTTCAGATCCTGGGGCTCAAGAATTCCTGACTCAGCCCCTGAATAGCTGGAATCAGAGGCTGTACCATCACTATGCCTAGTTTCATTTCATACATTTCAAAGTGCCAATGCCAACAGTTTTTATTAAAAACTTCTAAAGGTAACAATTCTGACTAAGGGACTGGAGAGATGGCTCTGCAGTTAGAAGCTCTTGCACAGGACATGAGTTCAGTTTCCAGCACCCATACCTAGAGGCTCATTACTGCCTTAACTCTAGCTTCTAGGAGAATCTAATGCCCTCTCTGGCCTCCATAGGCACCTGAACTCACCCCACAAGTGACTTATGCCTACACCAATCAAAAATAAAAACAGGGCAGGAGAGATGGCTCAGTGGGTAGAGATGCCTGCCACTAAGGCTGATAACCCAAGGTAGACCTCCAATACCTACACGGCCAGGAGAACTGACACTCTCAAGTTACCTTCCGACTCTACTCATGCACCCAAAACACATGAACAAAATGAAGTAATTTTAAAAGCTTTCAATAAAAAGTTAAAATAGATATTTAAAAAATACTGAGTAATACTAACAAGCTATGGAACAATAAGGAAAACGTGTGTGAAGCAAAGATCTGTGCCCACAAAATTTATTTCTAATATTCAAGCAACTCCCCCTGACCAAGAATCTTGTCTGCCAGCCAACCCCCAACCTTACCTGCTAAGCCCTGTGTCACTCACTAGAATGTAACAATAAACAGACAGGAAAGAAAACATTCAGTAGATGGGGCCCAGCATGAGAAAACTAAGCTACAGTGGCATGTCTTTCAAAGGATTTAAGAATCCCAGCCTCTTTCTCTGGATCATACTCCTGGGCTACAACAAGATCAACACAGTTCCTCCACCAAATGCCCTACAACATGACACCATGTTATGGACAGAGGAAAGACAGAGACTAGGTTGTCTAAGACTAAAATAGATTTGTATACCAAAAATAACCATAATTTCTAACCTGAACCCAACCACAGGAAATGCACTTCGAGCAGGGAAGTGAAAGTCTCACTCAGCTTACTGCATACATCAAACTGCTAAATAAAACCGTAACTCCATTTAAAGAGTTCAACAAGGAGGCAAGCAACTATTTCACCATAACAGGAATCAAAAGCAAATACTACAAGTCTAGCTTTGGAAAACTACCCCATAAGCCCAACCTTTAAGTCTCTTTTAACTGTTCGGCTGTAGATTGTTGAGGAGGGAGGTAAAAAAACAAAACAAAACAAAAAACCCAACTGCTTAGACAAAGTTTAAACAACCAAATTACCATTGACCATAGCTGTTTGCTTTATAGATAGACCACATGGTAAGGGCATGCTCTAAGGGCTAGAGAAACAGCTCAGCAGTTGAGAGCACTGCTACTACTCTAGTGGAGCTGGGTTCAAGTCCCAGCGGAACCAGGGCCCTTTTCTGGCCTTCATAGCACCAGGAACACACAGACACACAGACACACAGACACAGACACAGACACAGACACACACACACACACACAGGCAAAACACTCATACACAAAAACTAGTAATACATTCTTTTAAATACCATGCTCTAGAAATAAGCAGAAAACAGATTCTTGAACAAGACTGCCTGAATCCATCTATCTGCCCTGTGATATGCACACTGCTTGATAAAACGCTGTTGTTTCGTCAGGAGCAGGCCTGACAAAATAAACACAAATTTAGCAATAGTACAAAAGACATTAATTTACAAATTTGTAAGTTTCCAAGACACATCACCAAGAGGGTCTTTTGTTTGTGTTTTGATTTGTTTTTATGTTTCTGAGACAGTCTTGTTTTGTATAACCCAGGCTAGCTTGGAACTCTCTATGTAGCCAAGACTAAACTCAAGATTAGAGCAATTCTCCTGCTTCAGCCTCTCAGACACTAGGATTACAAGTGTTCACCACCACAGCTGGCTTAAATTTTCACCCTTAAAGCTGGTATTGTGTTTCAGGATGGCCTCAGAGATCATCTTTGCTTCTGGAGACTCAAACTTTGAACAGATTTTGCTATTTCTGAGGAGAAGGAGGAGAGTCTAAATTAATTTGTGAGCATCTGAGGGATCTTGGCGCAAACTCTGCTACATGGGGGATTTGCTGGGTACCAAAAGGTACAAATGACTTTCATTTTATTTAACTTAGGGTTTATGTATGCAGGAAAAAAACTCATCACCCTACACTATGGGAAGACAAAACATGGTAACAAATCCAGGATGGAAACCAGTTTTATCAACTGTTGTGAATGCTGTCAGGTTTCCCTGTCTCAACCCTAGTCTAACCATCCACCCAGGAATGTAGTCATTTCAAAGGTCAAAGAGCACGTATGTGAAAGTGTCCTGGAATCAGCACACAACTATCCGGCTCCAGTTTCCCCGCTTTGGTTATAACCACTGTGACTTCAGTTCCTCTTCCTTTTTCCCTCTGAAGTTCCTTAATTCCTATGTGCATATAGTGCATGTTACCGAATTCATTATACATGTGTATATACATGGGTTTTATAACCAAAAATGCATTCGCTAACTTCCTATCAGCCTTTGCACACTCACTTTTACACCCATTATGAGAAATGATTCTTCAGTGGTTCATAGTATCCAGAACTCAGTGCTGTAGGTGGGTCCAGCCTCTCCTTTCAATATTGCAAAACCAACCAACCAAAGTACCAACCAACCAACCAACCAACCAACCAAAGTACCAACCAACCAACCAAGCCTGGGCCTGAATTTAGTGTTGAAAGGGAAGGAAGATCAGCACACTACCTCTCCAGCATCTGCACATTCCTTTGCTCTTCTGTGAAGTGCAGCCCACGTATCTTCATATCTAAAAACACAAAAGATAATTTAAAACATAAACAGACATCGAAAGGAAACACATCTAAGTAAGTTTATAATATACTGAGGCTGCAGAAAAGAACAAAGAAAATAATGACATGTCACAAGAGCATAGAAGGCAACCTGAAAAATAAAATACCTAGAGACTCTGATCACACAGCTGAATTTTTGTCTTTAATGGAAAAGAGAAAAAAACATTTTTTGTTTCTTTTTTGAGAAAGGTTCCAATATGTAGAACTGGTTGGCACAGGGTTTGTTATATAGACCAAGCTAGCCTCAAACACTAAGTAATTCTTCTGCTTCTGCATCCCAAGGGCTGGAATTACAGGTGTGGAAAACACCATCCCTGCACATATGTCTGTGCACCACATATGTGCCTGGTGTCATGGAGGACAGAGAAGTGATGGGGGATGTCCTTCTGTTTGCTGTGAATACATGTTTCTCTTATTAGTTGGTGAATAAAGCTGTTTCAGCCAATGGACAGGCAGGATTTAGCCAAGCAGGAAATACAAACAGGGATAGAGAAAGATAGTAGGTAGTCAATGAGATGCCATGTAGCTGCCGAGGAAACAAGAGGCCTGGACATCACTGGTAAGTCAAGATGATATGGAGATACACAGATTAATAGAAATGGGTTAATAATTAAGACAGAGTTAGCCAATAAGCCTGAGCAACAGGTCAAACAGCTTATAATTAATATAAGCTTCTTGTGTGCTTATTTGGGACTAAAGGGCAGCAGGGCTGGGTGGGGCAGAAACTTCAGTCTACAGAAGTGGGCGCTGGCTCCTCTGGGACTAGAGTTACAGACAGTTGTAAGCTGCCATGTGGGTTCTGAGAATTCAACCTGGGTCCTCTGGAAGAACAAGTGCTCTTAACCATTGAGTCATCTCTCCAGTCCAGAAAAACTTTTCTTTACAGTAGAAATACAATTAGTGACTTTAAATAAATCATAAAAAACACAGATTCATTATTGGGAAAACACAAGAGAAATAACTATCAAAAAAGACTCCCAATGGGTGTGAAACTGAAGAGAAACAGAGTATCCATATAGTTTCAAAAGTTCTCAGCACAGAATGCTCACTAACCTGGAGGAAAACAGACAAAAGAAACCAGGCACTTACTTTAACAAGTGACCAAGACTAGTATCAACCACAATAAGATATCCACATCATCTGCTCCCTAGCATGATCACTGGAACACAAGGAACTATAGTATTTTTGGTGGGAAGGCATTAGGAAAGAGGAGATGGACAGTGTGCAATGTAACTAACCTGTTTCAACAGTGTCAAGGTTTTGAATCTCATGGCCTATTCCAGACTAAAGGAAAGGTATTGTGGGACATTTGTACACTGTATGAAAATGTATTGCCAAGATTGGTGTAATAAAAAGATGAACGCAGAATAGCTAGGAAATAGCTAGGAAGAAGTTAGTCAGGACCATCAGGACAGAAAGGACCCTGGGTAAAAGAAAAGGCAGATTTGCCAGCTAGATACAGAAAGGAAATGTGAGGTGCAAGATGGGATAGAGATAAAAAACACGTAGTAGAATGTGGATTAATATGGGTTGAATTAAGTTATAAGAGCTAGCTAGGAACAAGCCTAAAGTATATGCTGAGCTTTCATAATTAACAAGAAGTTTCTGTGTTATTATTTGGGAGCTGGCTGGCAGGACAGAGAAAGACTCAATACAGAAATGAGGTAGCATACTGACTAAATATGCATGGTCTTAGATACAGAAAAAGGGGTATCAGTAGCTGATAAAATCTGAATGGATTTGTTGGCAGTAATATAGTTACCAACATTTATTTCTTGTTTTGCTCATCATACTCTGGTTATACAAAATGCTAACACTGGGGGAAGTTCTTGCTCTAATTTTGTAATATTTTCATAAAGCTGAAATGTTAAAATAAATACTTCAACTTTAATTATTGCTATTGTTATTGCTGTATGTGGGCATGCATGATGGGTGCACATGCATGGCACATGTGTAGAGGTCAGAGGGCGACTTTGTGGAGCTGGTTTACTTTCCTTTTTACATGGGTTCTGAGAACCAGGTCACTAGGCTTACACAGTAAGTACTGGCTCAGTCATCAAGCCCTCAAAATAAAAAGGTTTAAAACATAATTTCTGAATATAATATTAGCTAAATGGCTATTGATAGAAAACTTCATTTTCTATCTTATCTAAAATTCCATCCATGTTATTACCTGAATAGACGTATGCATTTCATGAATTCATACTGCCCCTCTTTATAGTTATAGAGACACCTTTCTGTTGAATTTAGATAGGAAAGTCAATCTGATAATCCCAGCGACTATTACAAGTATCTACATGTAATGAAAAGCACTGTACAACATTACATAATCAACACTGTCCTCCTGTCACTGCCAACTAACAGAAAGCTTGATATTTTTGCCTCTGGTGTATCTAACTGTAGGTATCAATTAAAATCAGCAAGTATTTATTGAATGCCAGGCACTGTTAGGCACCAGCGTTGCCAAGATGAATTATACTTTTCCAACTCTGTTGTCTTAGTAATTAACACAGAGGACTTACTAAATGTCTGCCAAGTAAAGGAATGATCACACCACTTTCAAATCCAAGACTTCACAGCAGACTGACCATCACTTCCTCAGTCAACGGAAAGGAGCAAACTAAACACTGCTTGCCATTTAAACTCCACATCCCTTTGTTCCTTGCTGCTGTGTATCACCCTTACACCCACTGAGTTTGCCACTTTGCTGCTGACTCATTCCCTAAATAACAACACAGACTCACTAAGGCTGTATTTCTCTTCTTGCTGCTATGAGGAAACACCTGACAACAGCAACTTCCAGGACAAAGGGTTTGTTAGTTCACAACTCCAGGTTAGAGCTCACCATTTTGGAGAGTTGGGACTATAGTTCAAAGTTATTATCTGAACAAAGTAAATCTGAAGCAGCTAGTTACATTATATCTAAAGCCAAATGCCAACAGCAATAAATAAACAGTAGGTGTCCAGCTTATTTTTTCACTTACACCATCTAAGACTCCCTGCCAGGGGAATGGTGTCAACCACAGTGGCTGTGTCTTCCTTCCCACATCAATTTACATAATCAAGACAACGTCCCCACAGACCACTGTCCACAGGCCACCCTAGTCTAGACCACCACACCCAACTAGTCATCTTCTCTACTATGAGGCTATGACATTATTGGGCACTGCTGAAGACAGGGAGACAATACAATACAAAAACTACAAAGACATACTACTTAACCTTTCATAAATCTTAGCTGTCAGTTACAATGCTTAAAAGTTTGTTCCTGAGAGATTCACTGCCATGAGAATGGTGCCACTCTTGGTGGGCATGTCTTCTGGCCTCAATTAATATAGTCACTGCCCTTACATATACATCCACAGGCTTTGATAGACAATCCCTCAATGCAAACATTATACATCTCATGCACGAAGTTCCCATGACATCATTTTTAATACACACATGACTTTACCTCATTTTACTAAGGTGAAAAACCCTGGCTATAAATTCATTCAAAATTTTGCTCTTATATTTCTTTAAGTCAGTAATAGAAAAATGAAGGGAAAAAACTCACACTCATAATGTAATAATTCATTCAAATCATTATTGAATGCAGAGCTAGTGGATGAGACAGACCATAGGCAGATTAACATGTAAACAATTACCTTCTGTGCTGGCCAAGGCAAACTGCTTTATAAAGCATTTGAGCTCTAAGGATCTGAGAGACAAATTCTTAAAAACTTATGATACTATGGAGAGAAGTCAGTCACAGGTCACAGTAGTGGCCACTTATAATCTGCACTGTGTAGATGCAATTAGGCAGATCCCAGAGGCTCAATGGTCAGCTGGTCTAGCCTACCTGGCAAGCTACCAGACCAGGGACCTACCCTGTCTCAAAATAATGAGGCAGGCACCCAAGGAACACCTAAGGCTAAGTTCTGACCTCCATGCACACACATACAAAGCTATGATCTAGAGGACAGAGAAGACCCATAGAAAAAGTAAGAAGTGCCAGGAGTCTGTCTCTCACCTAGACCCCAATTACACTGAGAGGAACCCTTCTGATGAAACCAGTCTGGTGCTCACTACCTGTAGGGGACTGCCTGGATGGAAAACCACTTAATTTTGGTCAACCTGGTTTTATTAGAGTAGCGGTTACCCATGCCCATAATTTCAGGTCCCACAGCTGTGGCCATGTACTTGTTCCTTGAAGCAGCATGTGCAGAGTGCAGGCAGGTAATAAACCTGTCTTGTGGTTATTGGAGATCTGTGCTCTAATCCCTAGTTACTGCTTCTGATCAGAGAGGTGTAGACAGAGAGGCAGCCACTACTGCAAATCCCTCATATTCATGCTAAAGAGACTTTTAGCAAATTTAAAGGCCACCATCTGGTTTCAGTCTCCCATCATTTTGTTTGTTTCTTTCTTTTTTTAAAATTAGGTGCCAGCTATTTAAAGAGTAGACTTAGACAGTCAAGAGCAACCACATATATGGAGGAATTAATGTGGTTGAAATAGGTTGAGCACATAGCTCAGTGTTAGAGAGCTTGCCCAGCATGAATCCCTAGATCCAGTCCCATTAGCACAAGTGTGTTTGTACATAAACAAATTGTACACTACTAGTTTTTAACTATACTTCCTTTCAGATTCACTTAAGCCTTTCACACAAGAAACTAGCACCAAATAAATATACACTCGTAATCTCAAACAAGGAGGGGGAAAAATCCAATTACCCAAATACAAACTAAAAACACAGGCTACTGATGAAAAGAAGTGAATGCAGGTCAGGAAAAGAAGTTATCACCACATGTCAGAGAACTTCACTAACAACACAACACACAGATTCACTGCATAGCATCCGTAGTATAATCGACTTACTATAAAATTCATACTTACAAGTATATTCAGTAGTGATTTCAATACATTCACAAGACTGTACAGTTACTACACCACCTTTAAAATATTTTCATCACTGTAAGAAAGCTCATATGTACCCACCAGCAGTTACTACCCACCCTGCACTTCACTCCAAACACTGGTAATCATTAATAGTTTGTTTCTTCTGGAGATTTTATATAGATGGGACTGACAAATATGTGCCCTTTTGTGATGGATCCTTTAAGTTTTCATCCGTGTTTACTGTATCAGTCTTTCATTTTCATGCCTAAGTAAAACTTTATTATATGGACACTTCACTGTTGGACATTTATGCTGTTTCTACTTTTTAGTTATGAAAAAAACTACTATACATATTCAGGTTCAGGTACAAGTTTTATGTAGATGCAGATAAAGATATAGATATAAATATAGATGTATACATACACAGAGACAGAGAGGGAGAGGGAGGGGCAGAGGAAAAGTGTTTTCTTATGCTTTTGTTTCATGTCTGAGAAGAGCCACATCTTATTATTATCATGCCAACAGGAATGGGTTGGGGATAAGTGATGTAAGATTCAGAAGGCTTTCCTAGAACGCACAAAGCCCGGCACTTGATCCCTAGCACCACGTAAACCAGACTTGACAGAATATGCCTGTAATACCAGCACTCAAGGTGGAGGCAGGAGGATCAGAAAATTCAAAGTGGTCATCTGCTTACATAAAACATAGAAAACATGGTTTTAGGCTGAGTTACATAATACCTGTTCTTTAAAAAAAGAACAAAAACAAGTTGTCTAATTCAGAATCATCTACAAGTAAAAACAGCAGTGATTGTCTGTCCAAATCTGTATGGCCTTGTAGTGAGGTGTGAAAGCAGAAGCCTTCAAGGAAAAGAAGGAAGCAAGCTCCAGTCTCTACACTAGCAGAAAATCGTGGTTTTAAGGTTTTATCTGTAAAATCAACACATTTTTAAACAAAAATTAAAAGTACAACTCCGCTCTAAAGGAAAATATTTACCTGCTAAGCAATTCCAGTCCAGCGGAGTACTTTGTTAAGTATGGAGCACTCCTAATAAGAGAAACACTGATTAGAACTGCTGCAGATTCACAACTTAAAAAAAAAAAAAAAACCTGTTACAGGAATTCTGGCATTGCCAATTATCATGTAATAATTTTAAAACCACTACTGAGGGGCTGGAATGATGGCTCAGCAGTTAAGAGCACTGGCTGCTCTTGCTGAGGACCTGGGTTCTATGCCCAGCACTCACTCACATCGCAACTCACAACCATCTTGTAACGCCAGTCTCAGGGGACTCAACACCCTCTGCTTGCCTCCATGGTAGACATACATGGAGACAAAAATCCTACATGTTATCTTTTAAATAATGTACACACTCATATACATTATTTGAAAGAAGAAAAGGATTAAAACCACTAATGAAGAGAGATGACCCCTCCTGCAGAGGCTTGAAGTTCAGTCCCTAGTACCCATATCAAGCAGCTCACAACTGCTTGTAATGCCAGTTCCAAGGGATTTGACACCCTCTTCTAGCCTCTGTGGGCACCTGCATGCAAGTGGTGCTCATAAAACTATGCAGGCATGCATGTACACATAAAAATGACACTTAAACTTTTGAAAAAGTCTATCAGCTCAGAAATAATGTACTGAAATGTAACAATATGCAGAAATTGTCTCTAGCATATAATAAACATTTTCATATAATAGTAGATAAAGAAAATAAACGTGCTTGACCAAAGTTCACTGTTTCCAGTTGAAATTAAATTTGGTCACATATTTAAAAAAAAAAAATCACAATTCTACTGTCCAAATGTAAAACATGTAACACATCTACAGGGCCTCACTTACCAAGTTCTGTTTCAGTATTAATTTGCTTTTTAGTACCCAAGACTTCTGACTCTGATACACTTCAGCTTTTCAATCACTTTACAAGTTTATTACAGTTTCCATGCATCACAATATTTAAAAGAATCAACACTTTTTCGTGGTCAGATGCACTCAACAGACCTGAAGTCTATAAAATGATCCTATTACAAAGTCAGCTGCAAGTTATATGAAATCCAAGTTATGCAAATAAAGCTCTTGCTTGAGCTTACCTGGGTTTGCTTTTTACTTTTGCTTCTCTTGATTTGTCACTTAAAGTCTTCAACCTATAAATTAATAAATATAAAATATATTAATAACTCAAGATTTTCAACCCCACATGGGCTTAAGTCCACATCTCACCCCCAAAATTACAATGCTCAAAAGAATCAACAATCTGTTTAATACGAAAAATAATTTTACATCTCTCTAACTGAGCTTAAGAAATTCCATGAAGCCCTAGCTTTCCCAGAAGCAGTAAGAACCTCCACAAGTAAAAGCCAAGGAGGGTATTTTTACAGGCACGTTCTACCATTTTCACTACAATCTCAGAAAGGCATTAAGTTGTGATGATTTAGATAGAGCTACCCTGAGACTGATACACAGTAGTGGACCATGTTTATAGTTGAGTTTGGAAGGTACTGCTAAGACCTTCCACACAGCATTGTTATCTCAAATAGAGTTCTAAAGTATGGTTTAATTTCTTAAATTCAACATACCACCTTTCCAGCCTCCCCCATTAAAGAAAAAAAAACACACAAAAAAAAAAAAACAAAAAAACAAAAACAAAAAAAAAAAAAAAAAAAAAAACCTAATTTAATTTGGGTTAAAAGGCAAAGGGAGATCATTACAGAGAACTGAAAATAAAATTGCTGTAAGATTCAATAAGAGCTTCCCCATGTGGCTCCTTAACAACCATCTGTTTCAAAAATTGGTCTTTAACCAAATGTCATGTGTGGAACTTATCTGATCTGGATTTGGACAAATCAGCTGTGAAAAGGCATTTCTAAGAAGCAGGAGAATCTGATTATGAACCGAGTAACTGATAATATCAGTGAATTAGTGTTAATTTTGTTAGGCATGACTGAGGCAGTACATTTATGTAACATCTACACTAGCGAATACACTGCCCACATGAGGTGCAGCAGATCTGTGTAGGACTATGATTGGAAAGATAAAGACAACACTTGAATATTGTTGACTGAGATATATGGGGCTCACATCACTGTTCTATTTTTGTATATGAAGCTTTCACTTTAAAAAATATTTTTTAAGCTAGACATGGAAGATAGGCCTGGAATCTGAGCAGCTGGAAGCCAGCCTGAGATCTTGTCTCAATTTGTTTTTCTAACAATAAAGTCTTTAAATATTCTTTGCTCATCATACATTTCCCCCACCCAAAAAAACCCAAAATTTAGAATAAAATGCAAAAGGACAAGAGTTAAGAAAATTTAACAAAGAAAAAAAGATGTGGGTTTACAACCACTATTATTCTTTCCTTCTTAAGTTCTTTTGTTTGTTTTCAAGACTTGGTCTAACTGTCCTAGAACTCATTACATAGACCAGACCGGCCTCAAACTTAGAGATCCACCTGCCTCTGCTAGGATTAAAGGCCTGCATCACTACAACTAGCTCTATTATTATTGTTTTTAGACAAAAATGTGAAATTGAATGTATATATAATTTTCCTCTTAAGAAAAATGGTAATCAGTTCTCTTCTAAGAACACTTTAGTGTGGCATTTCCACATGGGTAACAACTACATTTCTCACACAAATCCTGAGCTGTAAACTTAATCAAGTTATTTCATATTCCCTAATGTCAGAGACACTGGGAAGGAAATACTGATCCAGGTGAATTCTCAAGTTTCTTTAAATATTAAAATAGTATTATATTCAACCACATAGATTTGCCAAGAATTAAGTAAAATTTCTAATATGATCTGGGGGCATTCTGAGAAACTTCAGACTAACTCAAATAAAAAGTATAATTATTACTTGATGAAAAATAAAAACAACACTATTAATAAAGTTGAAAGGTAGGGCTGAGATGGCTTAGCTGTCAAAACTCCATGAGACAAGCCTGAAGGCCCAAGTTCAGGTCCCTAGAATCCATGTAAAAGCAGGGGAAGCATCTTCAGAAGCGGAGACAGACAGATCCCTGGAGCTCACAGGCCAGTCAGGTTAATGGAACTGATGAGCTCCAGGTTCAGTGAGAGACACCGTCTCAAAAAAACACAAACAAAAACAGGATAGAAAGTGATTAAAGAAAAACTCTAGCCAGGCAGTGGTGGCTTATGACTTTAATCCCAGCACTCGGGAAGCAGAGGCAGGTGGATTTCTGTGAGTTCGACATTCTGGTCTACAGAGCAAGTTCCAGAACAGGCTCAAAAGCTACAGAGAAACCCTGTCTTGAAAAAAAGGAAGGAAGGTAGGTAGGAAGGAGGAGAGGGGAAGGGAGGGGAAGAGAGGGGAGAGGAAGAGGAAAGAAGGGGAGGGGAAGGGAGGGGGGCGGAAAGGAGGGGAGGGGAGGGGAGAGGAAGCCCTCTGGTCCATATGCATTCATTCACATCTACATAAAACGGACACACAAACCACACCTATATCAAAAAGCTATGCACATTAGTGAGCCAGGGAGGAATACCATAGAGCTTCCTACCCAATGAATTAATAACAGATCTGCTAACTGGCTCAACTGTGTTGGGCTGTATGGACAGCATGTCATTTGCATGCCTATCAATTCCTACCTTGTCTACTTAGTAGGAAAAAAGGACGATGGTTGCTTTGGAAAACTATAAAACCTGCAAGTTAGCATATTTGGTCATAAAACACAAGTCTTTAAACTATATTCAACCTTCTTCTATTCCACCTTTAAACACAATTCTTATGTTTACATCTCTGTCTTATTCTGTGTGTGGTACAGAGATACAGACAGGCAGACACTGGGGTGGGGTGCCATCTCAAAAAAAAACAAAACAAAACAAAACAAAAAAAAAACTATCACATTTAAAAGTGTATATGGCCACTTAAACTCCACAACCTGAGAAATGCACACCAAAGTGGCACAGACTCAGAAAAGGGGAAAAATTTTCAAACTGCCTTTTTCCTAATGAATCCCAAATGCACTATTCAGTTCTGACCCCTTTCCTGAGGGTACCTTCAATTTCCAAGAGCTCCTCAGAGCTCAAGGACTACTTCACCAAATCACTGTCAAACTGCTCCTTTCCCCTCAAGCTTCTTCTTATTCCTTTGTCAGTATAATGCCATCACTTATCTAAGATACTACAAATCAACATGCACAAGTTCTACACTTTTCATGTCACTTCTCACTGCTGACGAGCTCAACCACTGCCTGTCACTTCGTTCCTCTTCTCAATGTCTGCCAGTACACACATCATCTCCTACCTGGCCCACTAGTGCAACTTCTCTGTTCACCATTCCTAATCCCAAACACAAAAATACATGTAGGCCTATCCCTCAATCTGTTAGCTACAACAGCTCTGACCTTCTAGATATTCTGCCTACTGCCACAGTCTAGGTATTCTGTGCTATATAGTCCAAGTACCTAAAATAGGGCCTGCCACAAAGCAAGCACTGGACAAATCTTTGATAGATTAAGCAAAGCATGACAAATTCTCTATTCCTAGGCCCCTAATGCCCTTCCTACCTACATCTCCTATAACGGCTTCCATTTCTCCAGTACCCTTACCGAAACCTGTTGCAATTCATCCTTACTATTCTTCAAGACCCAACTTACAAGCCTTCAGTGAATGCACCCAAATCAAGGACTTGTTCTGGGCTTACAAAGCACATCACTAATGCCTTTTAACATCCAGTTCATTACAATTTGCTTTTCATTACACTCAGGGCAGAAACTGCTTCTGGAACTTCGGTAGCTGCCAGATAGATCTAGCCCAATTTACAAACACTTCTTGGTATATACTATGCAAAACTGAGCATATGGCCTCTCAACCTTTTTAAAGCATCTATGAAAAAGGGAACTTTGTACATACATACATACAGACAAATACCACATTTAAAAAAAAGTAAATCTGAAAAAAAAATTAAAGGTAAAAAGCAAAAGAGAAAGGCACTTGGTACTATTGTCTCCAAACACAAGTATATGTACCTGCAAACACACACACACATGTGCAGGAAGGAAGGAAGGGCCTATCAGCTGAAGGAGTAACTTAGTGACAGACTGCTTGCCTACAAGGTCCTGGGTTCCATTTCCCCCAGAACCCCCCCAAAATAAGGAAATGAAGAAATCCTAGAAAGGTCAACATGTTGAGCAAAGCTTTGCCTATAGATTATACTACAAGTTAAATTATTAGATGCTCTTTGCGCAGTTTAAAACTACAGAAGGGGAGAAAAGAATGAAGATACTGAATAAGAGCTGGGAGCAGTGGTACCTCTGAAAGCATGACAAACAGGAAACATGAGCCTATAATATACATTATAAACCTTCAGGAAATTTGTGTTTCAGTTCCCTGAAGGGCTTTACATACCTAATACCTGTGCTTTTGTTCATAACTGCTCAAAAGTTAAAACAACACATGCTACATATGTATTGTCAATAATTTCTCCACAAAACCAATCTAGTCTAAAAAATGTGTCGCACGCACACACACGCACACACACACACACACACACACACACACACACACACACACACACAAATATTCTATAGGAACCCCTTAAAATGGTTCCAAGAGCCAAGTCAAATGAAAAAATGAAAATAGAACTCAGGAAAAAAGGCCCAGAGTCAAGTCAATGACACCAGTTCCAAGGCTTTTAGGTTAGTCTGCTAACCACTTAGGGGGAAAGAACATGATATAATAATCACAACTCTAGGTTTGGGCTGGTGCTGGTGCCATGGATAAAAGTTTATGAGGAAAGACCACAAGGGGCTAGGGATGGTGCTCAGCAGTGATGCACTTGCCTGCCATGTGTGAGGTACTGGTTTTTATTCCCAGTGTGGTGATTTGAAAAGAAATGGCCCCCAAAGGGAGTGGCACTGTTGGGAGGTGTGGCCTTGTTGGAGTAGATGTGGTCTGGTTGGAGGAGGCGTGTCACTTTTGAGGCAGGCTTTGAGGTCTCATATATGCTCAAGCCATACTCAGTGTTTTAGACCACTTCCTGTTGCCTGTGGGTCAAGATGTAAGAACCCTCAGCTCCTTCCCTGGCACCATGTCTGCCAGCATGCTACTAGGCTTCCCACCATAATGGTAATGAACTAAATCTATGAACTGCAGTTGAGCCACCCCAATTAAATATTTTCTTTTGTAAGAGTTGTTGTGGTCATGGTGCCTCTTCATAACAACAGAAACACTAAGACAGAAATGGGTACCAGGAACTAGGGTATTGCTGTGATAGTCCTGATCATACTTAGGTTTGGAGGGATTTGGACTTTGGGAGTTTGGGTTAGGAAAGCAGTGGAATGCTTTAAGTACTAGTAGAATCGTGGAAGACAATGGTGCTAAGAGTTATTTGAACTGTGGGGGACTGGTTCAAAAGGTTTCAGAGAAGAATTTTTGTATGTTACCTAGAAATTGTTCTTAAGATATTTTGGTGAGGAATATGGCTGCTGTTGTCCGAAAAGTTTGTGTGAGTTTTAGATCAATTCCCTTGGAAGAGGAAATCTCAAAACAGTCTAGTATTGACTCTGTCTTGTGGTTATTAATGTTAACTCTAATGAAGATATATAATGAAAAAGAACAAGCTGAGCAAGAAAAATATTTGAGAAAAGGATACCAGGAAGTGGAATGGAGCCAAATCCTGTGTTCAAAGAGCAAAACAGATTAAGAAATAGAATAAGGGAGTGGTGACCTCAGGGCAAGATCCCATCCAGCTGAATTTCCAACTTTCAAGCCCAGTGTGCTGGCAAACACCTTTCATCCCAGCACTGGGAAGGTAGAGGCTGGTGAATCTCCAAATTTGAGGCCAACCTGGTCTATAGATCCAGTTTCAGTGCAGCCAAGCTTAGGCAGTGAAGGAAACCATCAAAAAAGAAAGTTGGTAATTGAATGAAGGGCCACGTTCCATCCCCAGCAAGCAGGCAATAGAACTTGGCAGCTTCAGCCACATGGTTCTGGAGTTAAGGACAGAAGAAAGGGGTTGAGGAATTTGCCTCCAAGACAAAGGAAAGTTGCTGAGGTCAGGCAAGAGTCAGGGGTGTCTCTGAATGGAGGCCTAGAAAGACCACAGTGCGAAGCTGTGAAGTTGAAGCCTGGATTGCCTTGGAGACCCCAAGATATTGGAGATGCCAGAGTCATGGGTACCTGGCCAGGAGAGCTGCTAACAGGGACTGGAACCAGCCAAGAAGAGAAGTGTGTTGCAGTCAACAAAGATGAACGGAATTAGAAATCTCATAAGCACTGACATCAGACATTGAGATAAGAGTTTGAAGTTGGCCCAGCTGGTTTTTGGTCTTGCTTTGGTCCAGTATTTCCTCACTATGATCCCTTCCCTATGTTTTGGAATGGTACTATATATTCCTTGCCATTAGAGGTGTTTAAAGTATGTGATCTGTTTTTTTATTTTGATTTTACAGGGGATTACAGTTAAGAAAATGTGTGTATCTCAGGAGAGACTTTGTGCTTTTTTGAGACTGTTATAGACATTTGAAGTTGGACTGAATGCATTTTTGCATTATGATATTGCTACAAGCCTTTGGGGGTCAGGGAGTAGAATGTGGTGGTTTGAAAGAAAATGGCTTCCAAAGGGAGTGTCACTATTGGGAAGTGTGGACTTGTTGGAGTAAGTATAGTCATGTTGGAGGAAGTATGTCACTTTAGAGGTGGGTTTTAAGGTTTCATATATGCTCAAGACCCAGTGTCAGTTCACCTTCTGTTGCCTCTGGATCAAGGTATAAGGACTCTTAGCACCAACACCATGTCTGCCTGCATGCTGTCTTGCTTGCCGCCATGACAATAAAGGACTAAACCTCTGAACTGTAAGACACCCCAATTAAATATTTTCCACACCAAGAACTGAAAGAAGAGGCTAAAAATCTAGGGACAACCTGGGTTCCTCCAGACCATCTGTAATCTCTATTTTGTCCTATAACGATTATGACGGCATATTACATTCCCTGAATGGAACATAGATATTGTGGTCTCTTATAACTAAAATTCCTTCTCTGGGGGAGACATAAACCATGTTTACCCCTCCCTCTAGAGTCCCAGGGACCAACCAAGATATGATATCTACTTTGTAAACCAATGCGTTTACTGAGCTTCCTTAAAGAGCACAGGTGAGGCATTACTTACAGGGGGGTGTGTGCATCCCCTGCAACAGATCGAACAAGGAAAGCCTTTACACTGGAGAGGTAAGGGCTTCCCCTCCTCTAGTCGTCCCCAGCTAATCCCCTCTAGAGGCCATGTGCAATTAAGGCAGCACTGAATATAACAGTTGTAGAGAGCCGATAGAAGGGGTCCTATAAATACTCCAAGCACAGCTGGGGTCATTCTTTCCCATTTGGGATGTAGATGGCATCCACAAGATGGCAGTTTTTCTGGATTAGAGGAGAGTCATGGAGGACATCCTTGGACATGATTTAGTCACTACGGTGTTGTTCTATTAAGAGAACAATAAAAATAATCCTATTTCAGTGAAGTCGTTGGAATGATGATGTCTCAGCAGTTAGGACGGCTTGTTCTTTCAAAGGACACAAGTCTGGCTCCCAGCAACCACATGGCTGCTCACTATTGTCTGTCATTCAGGTTCCAGGGGATCCCATTCTCTCATCTCTCCTTTGCTGGCATCTGCATACACATGGCATTCATACATATGGACACACAAACACACGTGCAAAAAAATTAAAAAGGTAATCTGCCTGGAGCTAAGACTCCAGCTCCATGAGTTTTCCTAAAGTGACAATGAGAAGAAACTCTGAGTGTCACTGCCCCTGCTGACTGTTAGGAGTAACACTGCACACATAAAACTCAGAAAACTTACTGACTGAAACTTGAGCACAGGACACGAGAAATTGTTTGAGAAGGCAACTGGTCTGTCTGCCGAACACTTGCTCTGTAAAGGTCCTACAGAAAGAGGGTCAATATGATATACTTGGGAGGTGACTGCCATGACTCTTTCAAAGGAATTCTTCAGTACTTTGTATTGTGTTTAATTGCTTACCCAACGCCAAAATGAACATGTAGCTTTCAAGCAGGAATATGGAAGAATTAGAAAGATGGGCTTTTGTTTTGTTGTTCCCTCAAAAAATTGTGTAGGAAATTGACGACCTGGTGGTCAAAGTTAGTGTCAGTGGTTAGAGCTGCCTTTTCTCTGCTGACACACATGACTCCAAGTGTGTTATTTCCCTGCCAGGTAATAGGATAATGGTGCAGAGTCTGCTGGCCTGTCCCCTAAGTAACATGTGTACAGAAAAAAAGCTAAGACAATAAGAACCCACTAGGAACAAAACTTTCTTAGGATGTCTAACTCTAAACCTGCCACAAACTATGGCATCACTTGTCAGGGGATCCTGATCACATACCCTCAGGTCCTATCCCTAACTAAACTCTAAAACCTTTAAAGCTATCCAGACCTCAGAAGACAGTGTGAGGATGTACAGTGCAGAGTCCACATTCTTAAGCAAGAAGACTTCTGCCTTCTAGGCAGACATCCAGGCATAAGAACAGGTTCTGAGACAACCATGTGATCTACACTCCCAGCAACTACCAAAAGGGACTATTAACCCACCAAAAAGAAAAAAGAGGAGGAAAAAAAAAAAAAAAGAAAGAAAAGAAAAGAAAAGAAAAAGAAAGGGAAAAAAAATCCCTTGACATAGAAACAGAAGGGTATTCAACTGGGTTTTAGTCATGGCCACTCTCGTGCTATTATAGCAGTACACCAAAGTTTTTTTTAAGTTTAAATTTAAAAAAGAAAGTTACTTTTCATAAACTTACAGTTTAAAAAGGCAAGTATACAATAACACTTATCACCGAATAATTCCTTAAGCACTCATAACTAATACTGATGAGCTAAAATCGATATATATATATACATATATATATATATATATATATGGCTTTCAAATACTTGCCAGTTTGTTACTATTCAACAGGCATACAGTATACACATTTTTGTTGCACGAGATGAGAGAGCAGTTAACGTTTAGCCCATTAATTATTAAAGCAGCATCGTGACCAAGGTGCCCTCACATTAGAAACACTCTCCAGACACATGACAGACCATCAGGTGATGGTGGAGGTGCCTGGAATCCCAGTTTTGAAGCAGGAGTATTCCCACCAGGTCAAGGTCAATCTGGACTACAGTGTAAGACACTATCTCAAAACAAAGCAAACAAAAAACCAAAGTGATGGCAGATCCTTTGTACAGCTATAAAAGCTGTAATGAATTAAATACTAAAAACACACAAGCATTGTCTACTGCCTATTAACTAATAGTCGCATCACTACCATTTCACAGCCACAGAACAGAGACGAGACTAAGTTGCACTTGTCAAGGCTAAGTGGTAAATCCTGCAAGAGTGCTTGGGCAGTCGCGTTCCCAGACCTGGTTGCACGTCGGAATCACCTGGGGATCCTTTAATGACCCCCTTCCCCTGACATTCCGGCTAAACTGACGCTCCCAAGGGCCAGAGCCAAGTGATTGTGAAAGGTTCCCCGGGGCGTCCAAAGTTTGGACAACTCCGGGTATGAACAGTTTCGAGCCAGTTCCGTTCCCCTGGCCCAGCTCCTCCAGCCGGGCGTTAAACCAGGGCAAAGACCGGAGATGGCAGCAGAAGAGGCGGGCCAGCCTGGCCAGGGCTCGGGCCGATCCGCCGAATGTCGGGGCCGAAACTGGAGGGTGAGGCGGTCCCGGCTGGGTCCTGCCCGGGGTAGGCCCGGGGGGGCGCCCAGTGCGGAGCACACAGCCCCTCACGTGACCGTCCCGACCCGGCGAGCAACGCTGCCCCGCGACAGGGCAAGAGGGCATGCCGCCCGCTGGGACCAAAGTGACTCGGTGCCGCCGACGGGACGTTGGCAAGTTCGTTGTGACCGAGGCGCGAGGACGCGCAGACCCGACGGCAGCCCCGCGGCCCTCTGGGTCGCCCACCGCGCACTCACCCGGACGTGAAATCCTGCTGCACGCTCAGCAGCCGCTCGCGCAGGGTCTCCAGCATCGCGCCCCCTCCCCTCGGGCCTCGCGCCGCCGCGGCCCCCCGCCGCCGTCGGGCGCCCCCGCCCTCCCGCCGCCTCTCGCCTCACACACTCCGCAGCCGCCGCGCCTTCCGCGTCCCCGCCCCCTCCGCGCGCCGCCGGCCCGCGCAGCCGCAGTGCAGCGCGCAGCCGAGAGTCCCGCGGCGCTGGAAGGGGCGGGGCTTCGCCAAGGCGCTCTCCCTCTCGGCAGACAGGGCGGGAAGCCGGCTGGCTGCCCGCTTGTAGCCTGAGCCGGGTTTTCTCCGCAATTGCTCTGCAGCGCAAAATGCACCTTGGAAAGATGGTTTCAGTCTCCGCGCCCTGGACTGAAAAGGGTTGGCTTTTGAGGGTCGGAAGAGAACTGCGGGAAAACTCTTGCGTCGCTGCGCCTCCCTGTAGCAACCCTGACAGTGGCAGTGATGGATCATCTGTCTCCATACTTCTCACACTCTAGTCCTGTAACAGGCCCCATCAAATTTCTGTACCCGTGTGTGTGTGTGTGTGTGTGTGTGTGTGTGTGTGTGTGTGTGTGTGTGTGTGTGTGTGTGTGTAGGGAGTGGGGGAAGCTCACAATATGTTGGATACTAAGGCTCTGTAACTGTCAGCCCTCTTCTATACCAAACATTCTCAGTTGTCCTCAGTGCAGAAGGATACAATTATAACAATTATAAGTATAATCTGGGTCCTATCTTCTCCCTCTAAGCTTTTCATTTCCTTTGCTGCTTACATTTGTTTCCAACAGTGTGCAAATAAAACAGCATTTTACATCCTGTTTATCTTAAGTTTATGAGGCATGTGACCTTGTCAGGTCTGTAGGTCGTTGGTGTTAACATGTAAAAATCCAGAGACCACCCTCACCACCAAAGTTCAAGAGTCTGTATTAAGCCTGCCAGGGACTTCCTGGAGCACTTCTCACAGAGCAGCCCCAAAAGCATTTTACGAGGAGTTTTTAAAGACAAAGAACACAGAAAAACTACAACCTGGTTGGCAGTTGAACAAAAGCCAAGAATCATGCTGTTAGCTGGGGCTTTTCCACCCAGAGTTTATAGAACAGGATTGGGTGCTTTCCTACGGGACTTTTCAGGGCACGGGTTAGAAATCAAAGATGGCTTCGGCTGAGACAAGTTAGAGAAACCTTTATAGTTGGGCAGGCTTGGCTGTTAGTAGTTTCCTACTGTAAACTTTGAGTTGAGTGGGAAGATACACTAGCAGTCTTTAGCAAGGGTACAGTGTTTTCTGTTCATCTGTGGCTGTGCCTCAAGGCACCTTTAAAAAAGGACCAGTTTTTGTTGTTGTTTGAGGGGTGGGTTTTTTGTTTGTTTGATTGGTTGGTTTTTTGAGACAGGGTTTCTCTGGTTATCCCTGGCTGTCCTGAAACTCCCTGTAGACCAGGCTGTCCTCGAACTCACAGAGAACCACCTGCCTCTGCCTCTCAAGTGTTGGGATTAAAAGTATGTTGCCTTACAACCCTGGCCTCTTTCCCTGTCACCTTTCTGTGCTTCCTTGTCCCTGGGTGTGAGATGTTTCGGCCCCACACTCCTTGCATGAACTCTGCTGCGTCTACCTTCCATGATGGATTATTCGGCTTTAAACCATGAGCCAAGCCCTTTAGGTTGCTTCTTCTCAAGTATTTTGTCAAATCTATGAGAAAAAATAACTGGTACATCAATCACCTTGTGTTCTTTTTGTTTATCTCATTTCTGAGTTGGTTTCGCTTTTAAGAATGAGAAGCACTGTCTTTTTGAGTCCTTTTCTATTCAGATTAGTACCTACTGCAAAGTAAGTGATCACAGGTAATATAATACCTAGTCAGTTTAGAAAACAGTTACTGGGAACTATTAAATCTGTTTATTTAATTCAATTGAATGAACTCTCTACTGTAAGGCATGAATTTACTAAGGTAAGTCCAACTAAGGCATTTTTTTTATACAAACATTTCATAGTTTCTAATCAGAGTTACTTTCAATTAAAATTGGAGCACTTTTGGGAGGTGTAGCTCAGTGGTCGTCTTGCCCAGCATGTAGAAGGCATGACCCTTTACACCGCAGACATACACCAAGTTTGGTACATAGACAGCAGGACTAAAGAGTGAGTTGTTTCCCAGTCCCGTGGAGGGCAGTATATAGGGCAAACCTCGGTGATAGCCTGGGGAATCCACACAGCGTCAGAACTTTTAAAACAGCAAGTGAGCTACACAATGGCTGACTGCTTTAGCCCAGTGAACTACACAGTGGTAAACAAGCTACAACAACTTCCCACTGCTTAATGCCAAAAACCAAACTGGAAATTCAGTTTCCTGAAGGCTCTCTACTGTGTTAAGTGACCAAAGTAAAGTACCATGACTCCGAACTTTCCAGCCACTTCGTGTCTTTTATATTTGCTATCTGTTGTTTCCATTTGGTACAGATCCCAGTGTTTAGGGATGAGGCCCGTAACCCATCCAATGAGATTGTGAGTGGAGTAGGCACAGGACTGGAAATCACAATCTAGGCAAGACCACAAAGGCTAGAATAGGAGCTCGACCCAAAAGAGGCCAGAGTGCTTCAGTGGGGTGTGATTTGTGGGCCCTCACTCTCCTTTTGGAGCCACACAGATCTTGAGGATGTGGGCTTAGGTTGATATTATCCCATTACGAGAGGGATGGATTAAATTGAAACCAAGAAACAAACAAGAGTTGGAAGAAGCCTGACAACGAACGGGGTCTATGGTACTACTTGTGCCAGTCACATGACCGCCTGGATACACACATTGTGTAGTCTGATTGAAGAGTCATCCTTGAACATAATCTTGCCATTAGGCAATTCCCAAAACACATCAAATTCTTAGCCCATACTTGTTCAGTCAAATGTCTCTTCTATAAATGACTTCACATGACAGAAGCATTCAGAAACAGCACTTAACCATTTTCTCTAATGTTCTCTGGAGGGAAGTCCTGGTTCAGACGTCAAGCAGACGCAGCAGCTACTGTTCCTATGTTGGCTCTTTCCTGCTAAGGACCAGAGACGATCTGGGGTGATTTTCATCTTGCTTCCAATATAATGTTATCAATATCCTTTTCTTCCTCTGAATCTTGATCTGGTATCCAACATTGATCTTTTACACTCAAAAAAAAAAAAAAAAAAAAAACCAAATACTGTAGAGCTCTGCAGTGTCCTTCCTTCAAACACTGCTGTGGGGACTTTCCTTCCTGGAGCACACAGGCCGACCACAGCAGACAGGCACCCGGGTCCTCCTTGACGCCCCCGCACGCGCCGCCCTCCAGCTTGTCCTGGTAATACCAGGGCATGGCTGCGCCCGCCGCGCCCGCCGCGCCTGCCACACCGGAGGCCGCGCAGACGCCCCAGCTAAGGCATTTTAACATGACAGTAAAACATGCAAAAAATATTTTCAAGTTATTAAAAAAACAGCTCCACTAGTTCAGACCAACTATCTCTATCTTGACTGACACTGTTTATTCATATGTTTGTGTTGTATCTCAAAGTGTTTTATGCACACCCTTAATTGGGCCTAATGAACCCAAAATGGAGAAGACATTTAAGTGTTAATTATACATTAAAAAGAAATAAAATTAAAAAAAATGAAATTAGATGGTTTGGCAACGTGGCTCAGGGGAGTGGGTAGAGGCACTTGGTGCTGAGTCCGATGACCTAACAGCCATTTCCAGGACTCACAGGTAGCAGGGGAAAATCGACTCCTGAAAGGTGTCCTCTAACACACACACACACACACACACACACACACACACCACAAACACACACATATACCCCCCCACACCACACCTAAAACTACAATTAGAAATTGACTGCTGTTTCACACAGGTGGTTCAATGTGGGTGAGCTATGGCATGAAAAAGAAGTATGTGAAGTGATCTATTGAAAAAGTTAACAGAAATCATCAGAAAGTAGTCTGATTGGCAAAATGAGAAAGTTTTAAGGTTCGGTTGGAGAGGCAACAAGAATACTGGAGGCTCTCAGTCTACTGTCCATTCAGGAGTTGTTGGAGAGTCGATTTAAGATTTCATTGTCACAGTGCAGGGATCGCTTTGGCAAAGGGGCCCTGTGTTATAAACCAGAGCTGCTGAGAAGTTCCTGAGGGCAGCATTTTCCGAAACCAGCATCAGCATCTCTTGGGAATTTGTTGGAGACATAGCCTCTAGGGCCCCACCCAGTCCTACTGAGTAAGAAAATGAGTAATATGAACTATCCACACAATTTGTATCTATGTCTCCATAAGAGACAGTCACAAAGAAAAAAAATCTGTTACAACAGATTTTTCACTGCAAACAGAGTAACCCACAAGGATTTTGGTGGGATTTGACTCCCAAGGGAAGCTGCTGGTAAAGTGTAAAGACGTACAAACCCAGAAGATTCCATACTACATCGTTGTCAGAGGTCTTTTGGGAGAGGCAACATGGTCATTTAATTATCAGGGCCTAACTTAGATTTGTAAATGTGTAACTATTTTGGGTATTGCTGAGTCTGAAGATGCCAGAACCATCCACCTAAAACAGGTACATGTTTCTTCTGAAGGTAACCTAGACAGAGCTGGCAAGAGGACTTTGAAAAAGAAGGCAGAGTCATGAACTAGGGAGGCTGGAAAGGGAAGTCTACTACACAAGAGCGAATGCCAGGGACCAGTCGAACATGAGGGAAAGGAGTTAGGAAAGGACAGCAAGGTGTCAGGATGGTGTTCAACAGATCCAGGAGGCATGAGCTGTCTGGAGTGGCCTCCTGGATTGCAAAGGTGGAAGTGCCTGGCATAAACTAAGTGGAAAGAATAGCAGAAGACATAGCATTTCTATTCGTATTTCAAATTTCATCTCATGCTAATAAAACTAACTGGACTTCGGGCTTTGTCCTTTTGCTCAGATGAAACGAAAAAGATGTTGTTGTGTCATGCATTAAGGGAAGAAACCATTGTTTCTGTTAATGTGTGTTTGAATCTACACTCTCCATAAACTATTCATAAATAATCAACTGACTCCATTCATCAAAGTACATGGACTTGCATGACTAATGGAGGCCACTTCCTCCTATTTTAAAAGGAATCATTTTCCCGTAGAAAGGGTAGACCACAGAAATGACATCTTCTGGCAC